ACGGGGTACCCTGGGCTGCTCCTGGGTGTGGGGTGCAGTGGGGCACCCTGGGGAGCGCTGGGGTGCGGGCAGTGCCCTGGGGCACTGAGGAGCATCAGTGCATTGCAGGGGGACACTGGGCTGCCCTGTGGGGGCACTGGCTTGCAATGGGGTGTATTGCAGGGGGGCACTGGGGGTGCTGGGCATGCTGGGATGAATTGCACAAGTGCACTGGTGGCGCTGGTGTATATTGCTGGGAGCCCTGGTGTGTTTTTCAGGGGAACGCTGGGGTCACTGGGGGGGTTTGCAGAGCAGACTGGGCATACTGGACAGACTGCAGCGTATTGCAGGGGACGCTGGACCGTATAGTGGGGGACACTGCAGGCACGGGGCTGTATAGTGGGGCTCTGGTTGCACAGCATCGTATAGCAGGGTGCACAGGGCAGTATAGCAGGGCACTCGTTGCATGGGGCTGTATGGCAGGGGCCCTGGGGGGAGGAGGTGGTACAGCAGGGGGCTCTGGGTGCACAGGGCGCTTCAGCGGGGTGCACGAGGCGGTGCAGAGGGGTGCATGGGGCAGTACAGTGGGGTGCACAGGGCGGTACACAGGGTGCATGGGGCGGTGCAGAGGGGTGCACGGGGTGGTACAGAGGGGTGCACGGGGAAGTGCAGCGGGGGGGTGCACAGGGTGGTGCAGAGGGGTGCATGGGGCAGTACAGTGGGGTGCACAGGGCGGTACACAGGGTGCATGGGGCGGTGCAGAGGGGTGCACGGGGTGGTACAGAGGGGTGCACGGGGAAGTGCAGCGGGGGGGTGCACAGGGTGGTGCAGAGGGGTGCATGGGGCAGTACAGTGGGGTGCACAGGGCGGTACACAGGGTGCATGGGGCGGTGCAGAGGGGTGCACGGGGTGGTACAGAGGGGTGCACGGGGAAGTGCAGCGGGGGGGTGCACAGGGTGGTGCAGAGGGGTGCATGGGGCAGTACAGTGGGGTGCACAGGGCGGTACACAGGGTGCATGGGGCGGTGCAGAGGGGTGCACGGGGTGGTACAGAGGGGTGCACGGGGAAGTGCAGCGGGGGGGTGCACAGGGTGGTGCAGAGGGGTGCATGGGGCAGTACAGTGGGGTGCACAGGGCAGTACACAGGGTGCACGGGGCGGTGCAGCGGGGTGCACAGGCCAGTGAAGAGAGGGGGCACAGGGTGGTGAAGAGGGGTGCACAGGGCGGTGCAGAGGGGGTGCACGGGGCGGTGAAGAGGGGTGCACGGGGCAGTACAGCGGGGTGCACGGGGTTGTGCACAGGGGTGCACGGGGTGGTGCAGCGGGGTGCACGGGGTGGTGCAGTGGGGGTGCACGGGGTGGTGCACAGGGGGGCACGGGGGGGGGCAGCGGGGTGCACTGGGCAGTACAGCGGGGTGCATGGGGTTGTGCACAGGGGTGCATGAGGTGGTGCAGAGGGGTGCGCGGGCCAGTGAAGAGGGGTGCACAGGGTTGTGCACAGGGGTGCACGAG